AGGTAAAATTTTTGGACACATTACCTTGAATGAAACTAAAAAAAGAGCTTCATTTCCCAGAAAAAGTCAATCACTTCTACTACAAATCACCACTAAATTCCATTTTTAAAAGGAAGTTCTCACAATATCAGCACCAAATCTTAGAATCAAGTATTTCCATTACAGACAAATCAATTATGTTGGAATTGTTCATGTTAATCTTTGTTCCTGGAGCTGATGATTTTAGAAAGTAACATCAGAAACCTTTACACCTTTTTATGCTAGCTGAGAAAAGCCTGAAAAGGGCAATTTCTAGCACCATGTTTTCTTTGACATTCAGTATCTTGAACTTTTGACTATGAATTGGTAGACCTGAACTGCAGTCCTGATTCTATCACTGCACAATCTTAGAGGAAGTCATTTGACTTCTCTGTGTCTCAATTTCTCCATCTGAAAATAAGGCAATTGAACCAGATAGTCCATAGAGTTCCTGCCAGTTCTAATATTCTATGAATCTTAAATTAGCTAATGCAATAATATCCATAAATTGAATGGAAGAAGAATAAATCTGACAAATGCACTGTCATTTGGAGATGGGTCTTAAATTTGCAGTTTAAAGAAAACTTTCAAAAAATTAACAATGAGCTCTAATCTCTTCATTGCATATCTTACTGCCCTGTAGGTAAGAAAGGTTTTAAGACAATAGTTTTAACCTTTTTTCCCCTAAAATATATGTGTGTATATATATATATACACACATATGTGTATATATGTAAGTAGTCATAAGGTGACCTGTGACTATCAGTGGCTTAGTCAAGGAAGAGTAATTTTAAAATTAAAACCGTGCACCCAAATATAATGGTCTTTGTGACCCCCTTGCTTATTATTCATAAAGTCTTTACCTACCTTCAAACTCTTACAATTGAAGTTACAGGACAGATAAAAAACAATCCTCAAAAACATTGTGAGAAAACCCCACGTTTGGAGAGACAGGGTTGGAATTCAGGAAAAGAACAGGTTGCCCAAGCTTCCCAAATGCATTTCTTCACAAAGTATTTTAGAGCAAATTTATTAAAAATGCATGCACCATTATATAACTAGAGGTAAAATATTGCAGATTTGGTGACAATTAAAAAATGGTTACTGTAGATGAGAAGGTAAAGTGCAACCATCAGTCAGGGGTATGGTATAATGGATACAAGACTTGGAATCAGGAAGACTTGTGTTCAAATCTCACCTTAGACCCAAACTAGCTATGTGACTGGCAAGTTTCTAAGCCTCAGTTTTCCCATATATAAAATGAGGGGAATAAAATAGTATCTACTTCAGTGTTATTATGGGACTCAAATGAGATAATGTACTATATGTAAACACTTTGAACACCTTGAAGTGATATATAAATGAGCTATTATTTTAAAACAAACTGTAAGAAAAAATTTGGGGACAGCTAGGTGGTGCAGTGGATAGAGCACTGGCCCTGGAGTCAGGAGCACCTGAGTTCAAATCAGACCTCAGACACACGGCCTCGGGTAAGTACTAGCTGTGTGACCCTAGGCAAGTAACTTAACCACAGATTGCCTTGCAAAAAGAAAAAACCTGAGTTATTCATTGCTTAAAATATTTTAGATAGTTTTCATTATATCTACAACAAAAATTTGTAAAAGCTTTAGCATTTTAAAATGATGTAAGGATTTTTTAAAGTCACACTGCATCACCAGACACCAACTAGTACAATACATCATGAAAAAAAAAAGAATTTTCTAAAATCCCTGATACCAAAGGGGGACAGGTATATGCTACATATATGCAAACTAAGCAGATCTTTGCCTTCCTTGAAGGGTAGGAGAGATTGGTATCTGTTTTGTATCAAAATACTTTAACCAAATAAAAATAAGAAATTCTGTGTTCCATTTTCCCACTGTATCTGAATTATTATCCAGTACTCTCTGAAAGTATACAGCCGTATAATCAATTGTGATAATTTTTCTCATTTCAGACATGAAGCCATACAAATTCCTGGTACCTGTTCCTTCCATCTCTTCTTAATCTATCTACAGTATTATTTGATCAATTATAGTTGTACTAAAGTTTTGTCCACAGTGATTTCCTTTTGGAATCAGATGACATACTGTGAATCTCCTTTGTCACTTAGCTATAGCTTCCCAGTCCTTATTTTTTTTAATCCCACTTCTCTTAAAAATAGTAATGACCCCAAGTACTACTTCCCCTGTCAAAACATTTCCTCCATTTGCCTTCTGTAATGAAAACATTGGATGAACACTCAGAAGACCAGGGTTTGAATCTTATCTCTGCTATTGTGTGATCTTGGCAAGTCATTTGATTTCTTTGGGCCTCTCTTTCCTCATCTGTAATATAAAGGGATATGACTAAATTAGGAGTTCTTAATCTTTTTATGTCATGGACCCCTTTGGTGAGTTCAATGGGCTTCTTATTTAAATGAATGAAACAAATGAGAGAGGCTTACCAAGGAAAGCCTCTTGAAATAGTGATCAAAATATTTTTAAAACAAATTCACAGACCCCAGGTTAAGAACCTTTAGACTATATGACCTTTTCTAGCCCCAAAATTCTTTGAGTCTCTCCCACTCAGTATCAGACTCATCCTCCTCTAAGACTGATTCTCTTAACATCTTCTGACCCTAAGAAACTTGATATGGACCTTCAGGGTTACCATAAGTCTTCAGATTGAAATTTGGGAAACATAACCAGTCTGAGGTGACACCTGAGTTCTTATGGTCATTCATCTGGCTCATAGAAATTTCAGGCTACTAATCTGACCTAGCCATGTGAGGTAACTCTAAGAATATTTACTTCTTAAAGATGGTGGTAGGGAAATGATGCTATGCTTGAACTGGAATAGGCAGCAAGTTTAAGGATCCTGTCATTCATTACTTTTCTAATTCAAGAAGTAATGATGTTAAAAAAAAAAGAATGTTTAAACTCTAGCTAACTTTTCATGTTCTTTTAAGACCATTAAAACACTTTTTTCCTTCACAAGATATAACTATAGATGTAAAAAGAATGGACAATTTCCCCTGTTTCATCTCTCTCTCTCTCTCTCTCTCTTTTGGTGGCAGCTGCTGTTTTGATCTGTTCATTGGCTCCGAATTGTTTCATGTTTCAGCCAAAGATTAAAACTGCTCTGTAATTCTAAGCAGATGGGCCTGGGAGTCCAACCCTATAATTATACCTTCTCTCTTTTGCCCTCTAACTGCAAGACTCCCATTCTGACTTTTAAACTCCCAAATCACTGGGTCTGAAAGTACACCTTGGCCATAAGGAGGGTCTGGCTTAAATAGTCAGGCTGACACAGCCTATGGCATTGGTAGCTGGGTAGCATGTAAGATGCCTATAAGAAAGCATCAACCTATTCAGTTAATGCATTTTCCTGTGATTCCAAGAAGAATTTAAACTAATTCTAAGATAAACTGTACCTTATCCAGACCCGGGTTCCGGCGCTAAGCCTGAGAAAAATAATTTTATTTGGGATGATGATCATAATCTAGACACATACCCAGTGATCATTGGTGATGTAACTCAGTTGCTAACAAGGAAGAGGAATGAGTAGCCCTAGAGATGCATCTTGCAGCAAGCCAAGGGTGTTTCATTGCAATATTTTGCATTTATCTGAAGCAATACAAGAACTGATCCTAAAGACATTAACTTACACTTTTACAAAACACTTGTCACAATAGCACTATAAGGTAGGTATTATGAATATTAACCCCATTTTATGGATGAAGCAACTGAGGTTCAGAGTTAGTTACTTCCTAAAGGACATATAGCTAGTAAGTGGCAGAATTTGGACTCAGGTGTAAGTCCTCTAATGTCAAGAGAAGTGTGCTTCCTCAGCAAGAGCACTACAACAAGCTGCTTTACCCAAATATATTATCAATATATTTTGTCACTCATGCTATGCCAAGCAATCCTGCTATAGTTGCTACTTTGTGGGCTATAATATAATCCTGATCTTTCTTTCACCTGTCCAATTTTCCTCAAAGAACATTCCAAAATCTCCAAAAGGCAAGTAATATACCTGGGCTGAGGGCTAAAATCCTTTGCCAAAGCTCATTTGGGTATTTGGAAAATTTAATCAAATCAGATCAAACCAGAACATCTGGGGAAAAGCACCTTAAATTCAGATAAGCCCTGTGAGATCTTTTTTGGATTAATAAATCTTTGGTAAACTATTTGTTGCTACTTTCAGATTAATTCGAAAGACTCCAGGAATGCTTATGCATGGGAATCTAAAACAACAATGGCATTTCAGAATGGAATCAGTGAGCAACTATCATTCAGAGCTGAAATAAGTAATTTACCCAACCAATACTCTTCCAAGAAATTTAGAGATAAACACACGTGGAGCTTTTTCCATAAAAGATCATAGTTATTCTTTAGAGTCCAATAAAAACTTGGACCACATCAAGAGTCACTCTATGGGCTTTGGAACCTTTTAAAAAAAATGACCACAAGGCACATAATTTAATTATAGCATCTCTGCTTATAGTTGGAAATGCTAAAGAAGGAATAAAAACATTTGCCAAAATTTTATACTCATTTACCCTGGAGGTAAAAAGAAAGGGGAAAAGCCAGCAAGTTTGTCTTACCATATAGGAAAACTCAAGCTGCAAAGGCTTAAAGCATGGACAATAAAAGGAGCCCTCATATGGGTCTAGGAAAAGAGGGAGGAATGACAGAAATTGAACTGGAGGTTTTCCCTGAGCCTTTCAGAGATATCATAATATCATGGATATATCTAAAGCTGGAAGCGCTCTCAGAGGCCATGTCCTCCCAACCTATTATTTTACAGATGAGGAAGATGAGGTCCAGAAGATTAAGTCATTTGAATAATCCAGGCTTTTGTGATCCATTCCCAAGTATTTCTATGTCCTAAGTTGTCTATAGCTGTTATCATGGATAATTATTATAAATAAGCATTATATTTACCAGCACTTCCGCGGGGGGGGGGGGGGGGGGGGAGAGACAGTAGCACTCACTCACCATGTAAAAGGAGGGCTAGGAACAGGTATCTGACCAAACTGCGGTAGGGATGGGACATTTCCAGTTTTTCTTCTAGACCACCACCACCACCACTACCTCCTCCTCCTCCTCCTCCCCTCTTCTTCCTCCTCTGGGCGCCTAAGAGACTGTCGTCTTCTCTTTCTGTTGGTCAGTAATTATTCTCTTCCAGTGCAACTTTTGGGCTTCCTTCGAATCAAAGTGATGCTAAAGTTCTTGCTTTCCCTTCCCTCCCTCCACCCCCACGCCGGAAGAACAGTCCACTACTCCCTTCTGGATGAACTTGACAAGCCAGACGAAAGTGAGCTGAAAGAGTTGCGACCAACAGCCGCGGCCCCCTTGGGATCTCTGGGTCCGTCGGCAGCACAGGCTTTAGGGGGCTGCGTTCAAGGCTACAGTGGAGGCAGCAGAGCGCTAGACAAAGGAGGTGTGTTGGACCCCAAGAAAAAGTGGAGAGAAGCGAAGTCGAGGTCCTTGGTGGCTTTCCCCTCCCCGCAGTGTCCCTTCTTCTCTTCCTCCTTCTTTTCCTTTCCCAGAGACTTAGCTTTCCAGCTTTCGCCTTGGGCTTCCGAAGACGCTCTGCCTGATCACGCGCGGGGACCGCTCACTCCATCTCTGTCTTTTGGGAAGAAGAAGGCGGCAGCAGCGGGATGACCGGGGGATGCCCCGCTGGACCTCCCGCAGTTGGGTCTGGGGGACGCAGCGGAGCGTCGGACTGTACCAAGGAGCTCGGGTTGTCACCGGGTCCGCTCACCGGCCGGGGATGGAGGACTCGCTCGCGGCTGCGCTGCGAAGGGACGGCGCACTCAGGCGTTGATTCAGAGGCGGCTGCAGTCCCTTCGAGTCTGCTGCCGCCGCCGGTGCCGCTGCCCGCCTGCCTGTCCCCGAACCTCGGCAGCCGCCTCTGCCTCTCCGTGCCTCGGGTGGCGTCCGCGGCCGCGCTCTCCGCCTCTACTCAGCTCTGCGCTCTGAGCCCAGTCGCTGCAGCCACCACCGCTGCTGCAGCTGCACCTACTCTTCATATTTCCCGTGCAGCAGCGGCGGCAGCAGCGGCAAGGGAAGGGAGGAGGGGCAGGGGGGAGAGGAGGGGTCAGGGAAGAGGCGACTCAGCGCCACTCATCTCCCCCAGCTGCCGCCGGGGAGAGGGAGGGAGGGAGGGAGGGAGAGAGACTTGAAAGGGCGGGTTGGGCGGCCCCTCCCACTTCTCCCCTCTCCCCTCTCCTGTCTCCGGGTTGCCCAGCCTCCCGCAGAGCTTCTAAGGGCTGCCTGCCCCGCCCCCGTCCCAGTCCCCGGGAGTTGCTGGAAGTTGGTGGGCACTCCCAGCCCCGCTGTTCTAGGAAGCAAAGTTTGTCCTCCCTTCCAACTCTAAATTCTATTAATCCCTCCTCCTCCCACCTCCCCTACGCTCTGAGACTCTGTAAGTGACCTAAGTTATAGGTTGTCTTTCCCTTCCATCCTGCTCAGCAGTGGCAGGATCCTGGTTTGTGTTCTTCGTGGGAGAAAGGTGGTCCAGGCTAGTCCCACTTTGACTTAACAAAGCTGAAAATCATAAATCTGATCTGACGAAGGTTTTGCTTTGTATTTATTAAAAGGTGTGTGTGTGTGTGTTTGTGTGAGAGAGAGACAGACAGACAGACAAAGAGACAGACAGAACTCAGGAGGGTGATTGCTGGAGCTCTGAGACTTCCTAGCAGGAGCTGTGCATGTCTTAACTAAATATATCCACCACAAGTTAGTACCTCAGCTCCTCTAGTAAGCACATGAGCCTATGTCACAGGTCCCAACCTGTGGAGGTAAAGGTGTAGGCAGCAGGAGCCTGTTTTTTTTTTTTCCTCCCCCTTCCTGAAGCCATAGATCTGTCATTTTTAAGCTCAGTTGGAAGGTCTGAAAAACTCACTGTCGAACCCTCTGAAGTCCATTTGGAAATCTTTTCTGACAAACTCACCTGGCTCCTGCATCAATCCCAAATACCTTCATTTACATTGTCTAGTCCAGTGCCTTTGACTTTAAGAGCCCCTCCCTATAAATATTTGCTAAATGAATGAATGGAATTTGTATATGCATTATTTGCGTTGAGGGCTATTCACTTATGATCTATTTCATAAAAGCCCCAAGGGCAGGAACAATATCTTCTACTGGTTTCGTAATTCCCCAGAGCACCACATACAGTGTTCTGCAGGAGCAAGCAGTTTGGGTACTCTGCAATTCAATTCAACTCAGTTCAACACTTAGTGTGAGGATGGGAATACAAACGTGAATACTCAAGGGGGAGTTAGCAAATGCTGACAGACAAGCAGCCAAAGTACTGTGGAAAGAGCAGTAAAATGAAGTTAGAATACTGACGGTTCAAATAACACCTGGGCTACCTACCGCTGGGGTGACTTGGGGAAGTTCCTTTACCTCTCTGGGCATCAGTTTCCTCTTTTGTAAAATGAAGGGGTTGGACCATTGGCCTCTTAAAGTCCCTTCCAGCTGTAAACCTATGATCCTATAACAAGTGGTTGACTTAGTGACAGGATCCTGGAATAGCTTAGCAATCATTCATTTTCACTTTGGTGCAAGAGGATTGCTATCCGATTGTATGGAATGAAAATCACCTCCTCACCATGAAACACATAAGCATTCTGAGAACACACCCATGGCACTCAAGTGGCCGGGCCCTTTTCACAAAAAAATACAACATTGGTTTGAACATCTTTTTAAAGTACCAGCTTCCCCAGTGTGATTTTTGCCTCTTTGAACAGTGGAATGACTCAAAGCCTTAATCTCCTTAGGCTTCAAGAACTATCTGGGCCTCAGTGACAGCCCAGTAGTTCCACACATAATAAAAATAGTTGAGAAAATGTTTTTGGGGGAAAAGTTTAAACTCCCTTTGTTTCTTTAAGAAAATCCATTTGTCTCTTGAAGACCCATCCCCGACACCTCTCCCTGTTTTCCTGGTATGCCAGTAAGATAATTCTGATTGAGATTATTTGATGTATTATTGTTGTTATTATTACCATCATTATAGTGTTCCTATCTATAATATGGAGTATAATAAAACTTGCCATCTGTCTTACTCACAAGGATGTTATGAGGATTAATGTGTTAATGTTTGCAAAGCTTGAAGATGAAAGGCCCCCAATGTATGCACGTAGTGATGGTAATCATAATAATGCCTATTAGCATCAGCATTATTTTGAGTTAGTCTTGCTCTGCTAAATCTTTCTGGGGTTGACTTTGTTCCTGATAATTTGCTCAGGAGTGTTGCTAGGCTTTGGAGGCAGATTATAGTCTGTGACTCTTGAATATTCCTCAAGAACTAAGAAGGTTTTATGTAAAGCAAAGGCCTGATTATTCTCCAAATGTGGACTGCTTTGGCATTTTTAATAAAATATGAAAATAGCCACCAAGAAGAAATACTAAGTAGTATTCCTATACCAACAAGATCAAAGGTCCAGTCCCTAACCCTATCCCTATTTAATCTTCCAAGTTTATTATATATTCTATTCTAATCAAGTTATCTCTTCCTCAAGTTTCCTTATATAATTGCCTATTTGTGTGCATATTAAATGTCTTCCTCTCCCCCCAACCCCTTTGTTGTAAACATTTTAATGACAGGAATTATATCAGCGGTGGGGACCCTATGGCCTCGAGGCCACATGTGACCCTCTAGTTCCTCAAGTTTGGCCCTTTGACTGAATCCAAATTTCACAGAACAAAGATTTATTAAGGGTCTCAAGGCCATAGGTTCCCACCCGTGAACTGTATGTTATGTTATTTTTCACCTTTCTATTCCCATCTGCTCGCTAAGTGTTGAACTGAGTTGAATTAAATTGCTATCAGAGTATTCAAACTGCTTGCTCCTGTAAACATTCACTTACACTGTGACCACATTTGGGGTTTTCTTGGAAGAGATACTGGAGTAGTTTGCCTTTCCTTCTCCAACTCATTTTACAGGTGAGGAAACTGGGACAACCAGTCTTAAGTGACTTGTCCAAGGTTACACAGCTTATAAGTGTCTGAGGATGGATTCGAAATCAGGTCTTCCTGACTCTAGGCCTAGTACTCTATCCACTGTGCCACTTAGCAGGTATAAAGTAATAATTTGCTAATAGATATTAGCTGACTAATAGATGAACTTGTATATGTAAAAGTGTTCTGCAAACTTACACCATTTTTCAGTTGTTTCCAATTCTTTGTGACCCCATTACCACAATATGCCAATACTGTCCATGGGGTTTTCTTGGCAATGATAATGGAGTGATTTGTCATTTTCTTCTCCAATGTATTAAGGCAGAGGTTAAGTGTCTTGCCCAGAGTCACACAGCTAGTAAGTGTCTGAGACCAGGTTTCAGTTTAGGCAGGTCTTCCTGACTCTATTCACTGAGCCATCTAGGCTGCCTCCACATATGTATTATTATCAATTATATTTGAGCATGGTAGAATTATTAACTAATTCACACAACACCAGTAATGAGAGACCACTCTATAGCATGAGTAGGGTAGTGAATAAAGGACTGGACTTGGAGTCAGGAAGACCTGAGTTCAATCCTGCCTCAGAAATTGGGTGGGTGACTCTGGAAAAATAATTTTAATTCTATATGCCTCAGTTTCCTTATCTGTAAAGTAGGAGGTAATGATAATACTGACCCAACAAGGTTGTTATTAAGATTAAATAAATTAACTTATATGAAGTATGACCTCATGTCATTATTATTTACATTTGTGCATAATACAATCATTAACTAATTCATATAACATCTGCAATGAAAGTCCTCTCTCTGGAGCTCAGTTTCTTCACTGGTAAAATGGGGACCTCAGACTAAATTGCTTCTAATATTTCCTCCAACTCTAAATCTATGTTCCTTAGAAAACATGATTTCCTTTGTAGTCATCAGGAGAAGCATAAGAGTCAATTTATTCTACAGGATCACCAGTTCATAGATTTAGAACTGGATATTACTTTTTTTTTTAAGGCAACTGTGGTTAAGTGACTTGCCTAGGGTCACACAGCTAGTAAGTGTCATGTGTTTGGTCTGAAGCCAGATTTGAACTCAGGTCCTCCTGACTTCAAGGCTGGT